AAACCACTGCTTTAGTCTTACAGGATCAGCTGGTCTTCATGAAATATGAGAAATATAATTTAGTTGAATGTACTGTGTCTCTGCAAGATGCTAATGCTGCCTGCCATCCTAAAGATTAATTAATATGGATCAAAGGTTGAGTGAATATGGGGCAGAAAGGTTTACATAGTCATGAAAACCGTTAGAAGTCAGGAGAGAGAGAGAGAGAGAATGCATTATTTGTGAATGGCTGACTGGGCTATGACACAAGCTGACCTTGAGTATCAGACAATGATTCCGTTTAACTCTTACCCAGATATAAAATTGTGCAGATCCCTGACCAGAGATATAAACCTAAAAACTTAATTTTATTCCCATCCTGCCTTTGAGTGGTCTTTCAGAGAGATAATTCCAATTTGCCATTGTAGGGACTAAGCCTCTACCATTGGTTTAAACTGTTTTGTGCTGTTATTTTCTCCATTAAAAATGATATGTCTTCTTCTATATTCTTATAAATATTCTTATTTTTTCTGAAATGCAAATTATTATTAGAATGAATAAAAATAATTGCACCAGTATGCACTTTGATGTTAAAAGTTATATAATTCTGATAAAAGTAAATAAATTAAAAAGTACCATAGAAATTATACAAATGAAGGCAAAGCAAGCAGCAATAAAAAAAAAGGAAACTTAATGGGAGAAAAAGACCAATACTATATTAATAATCATGTCAATAAATATAAGCTATTTGCTTACCCTATAAAAAGTTTGTAAAAAAACAAAGCTCTATAATATTTTGTCTAACTTAATGTCACACATGAAATGTTAGCAATAGACAAAAAGTTAAAACATGGTGTAAAGACTGTTATGTTCATGCAAATAAAACTGAGATTGTAATAAGTGATACAGAACAAAAATATAATTTAAAAGGCTATTAATTACAGAATTTCAACAATATTTGTTCCAAAAATTTCTTAGAAAAACTAGTTAAATATTAGATAAAATGTAATCTGTCAAAGACATCAACTCTTATCAAAATCTGGGTAGAATGGTACATAACTAAGGTAGACTAAAGTAAAATTGAAGTAAGATATTTTAAAGAGCAATCCTGTTCTTTATTCAGTGATTCTTTTTTTGGATCACTGTTCCTTTTGAGATTTTGATTACATACATAGGACCCCTTTCCAGATAAATTTTGCCAAGAATTTCAGGTATCCAAGGACTTCCTTAAGCTACATTACCATCCCCTAGTACTCATTAGGATCATAATAGCTAACATTTATAAGCACTTCCCAAGTGCTAGGGCACTGTACTAAGCACTTTATATGCATTTTCTTTTAAGCTTTATAACAGCCTTATAAGGTAGGTACTATTACTCTTATCCTCATAACAACCTATGAGATCAACACTATCATTTCCATTTTAGAGATCAGGAGAGTGAAGCTTAGAGATGCTGTTACTTGTTCAATGTCACAGAGCCAATAAGAAGGAAAGATGGGATTTACATCTTTATCTCTCTGATCCCAGGTTTCCAGCTCTTAATCACTAGATATACTGTCTCTCACTAAGGTCTTTCCAAATTAATTTTAAAAATCAATATAACTGAAAAAAGAACTATAAACACATCCAAAAGTATATCCAATCTCTTTTCTATTTATACCACCCTCATTGCAAAGGAGAATTTGAAGTAATTACAGAGATACACACACAAAAAAATAAACAGGAATGTGTATGTGTGGCAGAGGGTGAGAGGTGGTGGTCGTAAGAAAGAATAAATTAGAGGCAGAGCCAGAAACAAAACTGGATATCATAAGGTCATCTATGATTGATGAGTCACATAACTGCCTCTGAACAACATAGTAACCAGAGGAAAAAAGGATTTAATCAATACTGTTTTACCTGGTATTGAACTGGACAAAAAGATCTTTTCTGGGGAACATGGTGTAGACAATACCCTTAACAATATTATACAATAATGACTTTAAGATAAATGTTTCTTACAAGAAACTTCTTACATGTTCCTTCATGTAGGCCAAAGCGTGATGTCAGAGTGTAGGTCAGAAAAGACAGTTCTACATAGCGTACAATGAATGCAGTCTTAGTACAAAACTTCGCAAGGATCTGGATTGGGCTGAGGATAAGACGTAGAACAGATACGGAAATGGACATCTTCAGGGAATCTTTTCAGCAATTAGGCTTTTGAATTTAACCGTTGAGAGTTTATTTTCTCTAACAAGAACCTGGAGTGCAGAAATTCTAGTGTTTAGTAGGTCGGATTCATATGCATGGACAAGCAAGCGGAGAATAAAACTGGCAACTTCTTATTGAATAGAGGGCCTGAACAGGACAGATGCCTAAATTTTTGACTTCCCACCAAAGTGAGATGAAAGAAGGCCTATATAGAGATAATATCTCATTCACACTGATGTGTAAATATGTAACCACTGAGACATGTTTGAAATCCAAACAGCAAATGCTCTTTGTTTTTGTTAAGATTATAACAAGATTATGGAAAGCTGCCAAAGCAGTACTTGAGAAAATATATTGCTCTAAATGTCTTTATTAGTTTACAAAATAATAAATTAAGTATCTATATAAGAACATAGACATGGAACAAAGAAACCTTAAATATGTAAAAAGATAAAAAAATGAAAGAGCAGAAATAAACTATTCAAATTGATAATAACTTATATTTAAAAAGCAAGTTAGAGTTGCTACTTTGAAAAAGAGAACCAAATCATAGCACTGTTCTATATAGTTACCAGAAGAATAAAATAAAATTTTAAAAGAACTCAGATAGATTTATTTCTAAATTTTATTTTGAAGATGGAGAAGAAGGGACCAAATTAAATTACTAAAAGATTTAAGGGAAAAATTAGAGTTATGACTTTAAAGTTGGGTAAGATAAGGACAAACATGTATAGAGCACTG